ATTCACTTTTATAGTGACCAATTTTACCATAGTGTGTGCAAATTTTGTTCTCGGAAAGTGTAAGGTACTTGCTTTTAGGATCCCACTTAGGTGCAGGGGTCCCATAGCCAAGTCCACTCTTGTTGCTACTATGGTGTTCGTGTAGCCATGAAAGTGCATCGGAGGACCTGTTCCATTTACATGTTCTATCTATCCCATGCTTGACCTTGCTCAGATCCTCCTTTAGGACTCTTATCTGCTCATCTCATTTGTACAACTCATCTTTCATTTTTCCTACATTTTCTTTTAAAGTGAGTTATGTGTGATCAGCTTTCTTTTTACCTGTTCCTAATTTCAATTTAGATTTTTAGATCTAAGCTCTATGGCAGTGGTGTCAAGTTCATGAACCTGGTTCTTTAACTCAGCATTTTTACTTTCACTTTCACTAGCCGTAAGTTTCAGATTTTTGCACTTAGCTATCGAAATCACACACTCCTTAGACAGTTGTTCCTTTTCATTGTTTAGATCCTCAAATTCATCAATGAAATCCAGGAGTAACTCAGATAGCCTTTCTTTAGACAAAAATTTAATTTTGTCTTTTAGATGAATTACACTTGCCTTAGATTCCTCATCAAATTCTCTAATGGCCATAATTGCTTGTTCATCTCCATCTTCATCATCTGAGTCCTCGTCTGAGCTTTCTCCCCAGGCAGCAGCCATAGCCTTTGTTGATCATTTTTTCTTCTTGGGATGAACCTGTTCCTTCTTCCTGTTTCTGTGTTCAGCTCTTTCCTTACTCCATTCAATTTCCCATTGAGGGCAGTTTTTGATGTGGTGATCAGTCTTCCCACACTTGTAACATCCCTCATTGTTTGCTTTTCAGGAACCCTTGGTTTGTTGTAGTTTCCACTTCTGGAAGGACCCTTTCCTCTCATTAGGTACTTCTTGAAGTCCTTTGTGATCATGGCTATTTATCCTCCTCTAGATCAGCACCTTCAATGATTCTTAGTGTCAGTCTCCTTTCCTTCTTGGGTGCATCCATCTTTATGGTTTGCCTTCTAAGTTCATAGGCAATGAGATTTCCAATTAGCTCATCCAACTTAAGAGTGACAATGTTCTTTGATTCCTGAATGGCAGTGATTTTGCTCTCCCAAGTGACTGGTAGAACATTTGTCAAAATCTTCTCAACTCTATCTTCTTCAGGGATAATCCTTCCAAGAGACTTAAGTTCATTTGTTAGTATGGTGAACCTTGTATACATCTCCTGGATGGTTTTCCCTTCCTTCATGGTGAAATTCTCATATTGAGAATACAGTAGTGTTCCTCTGGACCTCTTCACTTGAGGTGTTCCTTCATGAGCCACTTGCAAAGTGTCCCAGATTTCCTTAGTAGTGGTACAACTTTGAATTCTACTGTACTCGTATGGACCAAGTCCACACACAAGCCATTTCTTGGCCTTAGCGTTCTTCTCCCATTTCCTCAAGTCCTCAGCAATGCAGTCAGCTCTCGTTTTTGGCATATCTACTCTTTCATCACTCTTCTTCATGATAGCCAGGGAACCATCAGTGACAATATCCCATAGCTCATAGTCTTTTCCGATGATGTGATATCTCATCCTATTTTTTCACTAAGAGTAGTTTGGCCAGTAAAGAGCGGTGGCCTAGCAGTGGATTGCCCTTCCCAGTTTTCAAGTGGTGCGCTCATCTTGATTTGTTCCTAAGGTGTTAGCCTCTTCAAGGATAACCTGATCTGATACCAATTGATGTTTTAACTTCAATACCACACAAGAGCGGGGGGTTGACTTGTGTGATGTCCATTTTTTGCGTGCACAGATTATAGAAGGACCTGGTTCTTCTATGTGTTCCTTATACTACTATTACAGAATAGTAAATGCAGAAGTAAATAGCACAAGTTTTTTTACATAGAAAACACCCGGCTCAAAAGGTGAAAAAACTACGACCTAATACCTAGTACGATTTTCTCCAAACACTTCACTACAACTTTGAGCCAACAACAAAGTTTATAAACTCTTGTAAACCTAAGGATTAACTCTAACCCTTATAGCAACACGCCACGAGCTGTTGCGATTACTTCAAGTTAACTTTAACTTGAAAGATACAACTCAGGTACCTAGTACAATTTGCTTCTAAAAAAGCTGAAAGGTACAACTCAAAACACATACTACACTTTGAACTAGAAATAAATAAAGACACATAAAACTCTTTATGGAGCTGGCTATTCAATCTGGTTCGTGTAGCTTCAAGATCGCACTCTTAAATCTCACAGGAATTGCTCACAAAATGCCTTGCTATTTTGCTCTCAATTTGTGCTTAACTTCAGAATGTGTGCATCACCTGTAAAGTGAAAATATCCTGCAATTTATAGAGTTAGTAGATGAAGAGAATAACTAGAGTTCTAATGCTACTCTTCCTTGGTGGAAGAGTTCTAGTTGATCTCAACTTCTAACTCTTTCCCTATCTTGGATAGTTTTCTCTTTGATTAAGGAGTCCTTCTCCTTATCAATTATGCAACCTTTTCGATCACGAGATATCAAATATATCAAGTTAAGTTTATCTCCTTCGCGTGCATCCCATATGCTCGAATCTGTCTGTTTCTATGCACACAAGGGATGGACCTGGTTCATGCCTGCGCTTCCTTTGTCAATCTTCAAAACAAACCTTTACTTGGGCCAACACATACATTTCTACTATTTCACTGTTACTAGACCAGCTCTCGTAATGAACTAGATGCATTAAGGACTTAAATATGGAACATCAGTAATGTTGAAAGTCTGATATTCTGATTAGATATTATTATGGAACATCAGTAATGTTATGGAACATAGCACAGGAAGTCCTTTTACCAAGTTAGAGACCTAAGAGACATGTTCACAGCATTATATATCTTCTTGTTAGCTTCATATATATGTTGTCTACACAACAAATGCTTCTTTCGAATTTTCTCCATTTCTGATTCTTCAATTATTTAGGAATTGCGCGCCAGTTATCTTATAATGGTTATTTTGTTTTGCATTAAGAATTTTTACAAGATCATAGTATCACAATAATCTTATTTGTGGGGTTGTTAATCCATTGATTCTGAGCAGTTACATTCTTTAAGTGACCAGGGTAGATGAGCTATTAGGGGCAATTTAGACGAGTAGGCAAGCCACATGGGATCTGTTGTGGGCATTGCCCCCTCGTGTCCGTGAGCCTTAATGGGCTCAAAATTGATTTTATTCAAACTCTACTGGACCATCGATCTTATGGTCCAACAAAGGTGTAAAATTTTGATGTGGCGCCTAATTTTGCGTCATTCATTGAATTTATACCCAAAACTTTTTTAATTGATACCTAATTTTTGAATAACTTCAGATACATATACTTTTCTCTTCTTCTTTACTAGTATTCAAAAATTAGGTATCAATTAAAAAAGTTTTGGGTATAAATTCAATGAATGACGCAAAATTAGGCGCCACATCAAAATTTTACACCTTTGTTGGACCATAAGATCGATGGTCCAGTAGAGTTTGAATAAAACAAGTTTGTTAATTTTGTATTTATTTTGATAATTTGATGATTGAGATTTGTACTTTAGGATGTTTGAAAGTTATGTTTCAAATTTGAGCTCATTTGGAACAGAATTGGGCATTGAATCGTGTATTCGATGGTTGAAATTCGAAGAACAGATTTATGTTTCAGAACTTAAGATTCGAAATCTGAAGTTGCATTTAATAAATTGAACTACATAAGATTCGAAATTTTGAAGTTTGCATTTGAACGAAAGATAGAAGAACTTCAAGTTTGATTTATGAAGTTTCATTGAAGAGATTTAACTAATTCAAATTTGAATTTCTGAAGTTGCATTTGAAAGATAGAAGAACTTCATATTTGATTTCTGAAGTTGCATTGAACAGATTAAACTACTTGAGATACGAGCGGATGCAATTTGTAAAATTTCGTACAATGTGGGTATAACTTTAATGTGGCCCGTAAGTGCCAAGTGGTATATATGAAAATGCCCCTGAAGGTGGCCGAAATCCTTAAGAAATATTTCCACAAAACCTCTAGCTTTAATATGCTTTCCATACCCAAAAATTTATTTCATCTAACACGCTATGAGGCAAAGAAAAAACTATGTGCAAACCCACGAAGACCTCCTTAATTCAGAGCTAAGACTCTTGCTAATTAGCTGCTTGTGGCTTATGTTTCCAGTGCTACGTTAGAAGTTAGACGGCGTAATTAAGGACCTCAACTTTCTGTTTCAAGTTCCCATACTGCATCCATCTCTTAGCACGCGGTTGTCCTTTTGTTTTTGAAGAATCAAAGAAGTGGGTTTCAATGGGAACTTCTTAATATATTTGTCATCATTTTAAAATGAAAAATTTACTATTCCTTAAAGGCCAAAATAATTTGATGACATGAGGACAGATTGAGTAATAAACTTGGTTGTCTAGCTAGTGGTAGGCAATGACACTGTCTTACATAAAGTGATAAAGCTGCATGTGGAATCCTTCTGAAAACTTTTCTATTCAAATTGCTGTATAAGGAGAGACTGTTTACATAGCTTCTTTAACCTTGATTCACTAAGTAAAGAATCTTCACAGATACTCATTAACCTGTCTTGACCAGGCCACTCACAACACATGCGATCCACAAAAGTATGTTAGTACTAGTAGCACCACAAAAAATCCAAGAAAGTTTTGCGTCAATCGAGAAGATATATTCTTCTCACCAACTCATTCATTCTCCCGAAATACTTTTAGGAGTAGTGCTTTCTTTTCTTTTTCTAAACTTTCTAAATTTAATTTCCATATTCCCATCTTACTTTGACAGTAAAATAGATAGTACTATAGAGTATAGTTTATTCAACACAAAATTTAAGAATTTTTTTTTTAAAATTTATGTTCCTAAATATACCATAAAGTTTATGCGATTACAAATTTTTAAAATTTGTAATTTTGAACTGTGTCATAATATTTGTATGACTATAAATACAATATTTTTTTTAGAGCGAAGTAATAAACAAGGTAAAGGGAAGTACTTGTAGAAGAATGGATAATAAACATTGTAGTAGTACAATTCACAGTTCTTGACAAATTGAAGATTTTGTCAGACTCGCTTGTTGTAAGAAATGAAAGCTCTAAGAAGTAGGCCAATTCATCAGCAAGCTCTTGCATTTTGGTACATCCTCAGAGATGAAACACGCCAGATCACACACAAACATTAAATATATAGGAACAACAACCAAAAAAAAGTACTAACCCACAACCATGTCCAAGTATCCGAAGACTATATGCTATACTATAACACAAGATGCCCCATTCAAAACCCTAACTAGGTTATAAAAATGAGAAAGGAAAGTACTAGGAGTAAATTTGTAACGCTTAGTTCCTTAAAAATATGCACCATTTGCTGTCTGCAGATCCGACCATGTGGAAATGCTAGGGTTCCAGAAACCCAATTCTCCTCCAGCACCCACCGGAGCTGACTCCAAAATCATTGACGACGATGATGCCGTATTTCCAAAAAGTGACGGCGCGTGATCAGGATAGCACCGACTCGTTGACGCTTTGAGTCTTTGATATAGCTCTTGAAGTCCTGAGCTTTGAATTTCGCCAATTATAGAACCATTTTGCTGGTTATTTTTCCACAAATTACTGCAAAAACCGAGAGAATTAGGAAGCTGATTATATGAATTCACACCAATTGATTTTCCCTCTTCCTTAACCGCAACAGAATTTGGGAAGTGGCAGGTGTCAGCATTAAAACTTAGGTTTTGATGATTTCCTCTCAAAATGGAAATAAGAGGATATTGATTTTGAGGTGAGGAAAAAAGAAAAGGGTTCGAATTAGAGATTTCGTGTTCGAGCCCTCCAAGAAAGCTTGGAAGTGAAGCTTTCAACTTTGCAGCACTTGATTTTGCCGCGGAGGTAGTAGAGATGTTAGTATTCTTGTTTTTTCTGCAGCCACCACCAATAGGAACGTTACGTAACGCACCACCTTTAGTCCAGTAACGGCGACAAGTCTTGCAGAAATGACGAGGCTGAGTTAAGTTGTAGTTGTTATAGTAACAAAACTTAGTGTTTGGGGAATCACAACGTGGACATCTAATGCTTTCTGAGTTTGAAGATGAGCTAGCATTTGCTGCTGCAGGAATATTTGTGGTTAAGGTTGAGGAATTAGAAGTAGAAGAAAGAGGAGAGGAGGAAGGAGTATTGGATTGCTTTGAAATATTTTCCCCTCCTCCTCCTATAAGGGTAGTATTTCCTGCGAAAAGCTCTTGAATCATCTTTTTTTGCTTTTTGGTAATATATTTCACACTTTGATTACAGTCGGAAAGAACAAAAGGGGAAAAAAGCGAGAGAAAAGAAAATTAGATTGGATTAATGCTTTTACTGATCTTTTCGAAATGGGAAAGCTAGAATATAATATTGTGGTACTGATATATGCGAATGAGAGATATAGAGAGAGAAAGAGAATAAGTATGCTTTTGAGGGTGCGAAAGGATTGAGAGTAGAATGATAGGCGGGCATAAATATATAGAAACTCTATAAAGAGAGGGGGCACAACTTAACTGACAACAATTTGTGATTTTTTTGGAATGTATCTGTAACTAGTGCTTTTTGAAGTGAAGTGAAAATGGACCCTTCTTAAATGATCGTTGGAAAAACGTTAAATGAAAAATTGATTATGTTATATGCTGCTTATGCATGCAAAATCTTGTCTGCTAATTCGTCGGTATTATCATATGTTCATCCACTAGATAAAGTATTTCATTTATTTTCCATGATCGTGTTTGACTAGATATGTATCTAAGAAAAAAAAAAAAAACCTTTTCAGGTATTAATTAAATAATATTTTTTATGTTTCAATTTATGTGGCAATATTATTATTTGGGGAGTGTACAAAGTTGTTCTTTGACCATATTTTTCTTAAATAATTTATAAATATTTAAATTACAAATTATTACTCCTTCGGTTTATATTACTTGTCATATTTCCTTTTACATGTCCTTTAAGAAAATATTAAATATTTTATTTGTTTTTTTGTCTAAATATAATACTACTCTTAATTTAACCGCATCAATTTTTCTCTTCACTTATTAGAATAAGGGTAAATATGGAAAAATAATTAATTATATCTTGATTTTCTAAACTGACAAGTATTTTGGACCAATTATTTTTAGTAACCATGATAAATAAAATAAAAAAGACCGGAGGGAGTATGATGTATAATATATTTTATGTAGTTTTCAAATGTGTAAATTTTATTTTTAAAAACTTGAAGAATCTAAATGTAATTTCATGATCAAAACTAAAAATTTTGTTCATCCTACTTGGAATGATACCACAAAAAATAGAACGGAGGGCGCATATAACATACCAAAAAATCTTATTATCTTATGATATTCAATATGTCATGTCATTCCTACAAGAGAGAAATACCATATAAAATAAAAGTTGAGCAGTACTTCTTAAAAGTTAAACAATGCGCTTTAGGAACACCACATTTGACATGGTATAATCTGAAAAAATTGTAGCTTTTTTTCTTTGAATTAATCATCAGGTATAATCATGAACCAACTAATTTGAATTCACGTCGGTCCGGGACTCGCTAATAAAGTTAGCCACTCCCTACCCATGTAAGAATTCTCTATTTTCTCATATGACAAGAGAATTAGTTTACCTATTTCCTGAATCTTAATCGTTTAACTGGTTATGGTTCCACGTACGTCAATGTAGCATGTTTCATAATTGCCATAGTTGGGATTAAGAAAAGTTGGAAGATCTTCAAGTAGCTACACTCAGCGCCTTAGCGGAGCTATTCAAATAGTGCCCGACAGCAGTAGCGCGGTGCTCATGTGCTTTGCAATCCATCTTCATAATAGATAGGTATACTAGTAATAATTTAATTTAGGGTATGAAAGTGGTAATTAGAAATGAAATTATTCGGGATAAGGTAGGCGTGGTCTCCGTGGAGGACAAGATGTGGGAGACGAGACTTAGATAGTTCAAGTATGTGAAGAGGAGAGACACAGATACACCGGTGAGGAGGCGTGAGAGGCTGGCCTTGGAGGATCTAAGGAGGGGTAGAGGCAAGCCGAAGGAGTATCAAGAAAAGGTGATTAAATTAGGCAGGGTATGGCGTTGCTCTAGCTTACTGAGGACATGACCATGGATTGGAAGGTATGGAGGTTGAGAATAAAGGTAAAAGGTTTGATAGCCTAGCGTTATCCTTGTCTGTAACCATAGCTTTAATACATGGCTTAGCGTCATTTGTGTATTTTCGTATTCTTTAACTTCTGTTATTACTTGTTGTTGTTTTTATTTCAGCTTTCCGATTGCAGTACCTAGTGTTAGTTTGGTATTTTTTCCTTCGATTTTCTGATTGGTGTGCTTGTTGTTGCCCTTCAGTTTTCCTTTCCTAAGCCGAGGGTCTACCGGAAATATCATCTCTGCCTTCCTAAAGGTAGAGGTAAGGTATGCGTATACACTACACTCTCCAGTCTCCACTTGTAGGATTACACTCATGTTTAACCCAAAAAATAATTTTCAAGGTCAAAGCAATTAATTTTATATGATGGATCACAAGCAACTGATTCGATTCGAAAGATACAAATATTTGCTAATACAACGTGATAGAGAAGTAAAAATAAATCTAATGACAGATAATATAATAAAAATAAAGCAAGGAAGAAATAAGTCTTATTGGATGATCCTTGATAGGCTGATGAGCCGAAAAGAGCTTGATGAGCTGAATTATGGCAAACTTGGGAGCAAGTTGCTATGAATTATAATGAATAGAATTGTAGAGAAGAAAAATTAGATGATTACAATGATGGTAAAGTGTGTTTATTTATAGGGCTAAATCTAAGTAGCCATTCTCTTTGAATTATGAGTCCATTATAAACATTTACTCAATTCATTCGTTACTTTTGGAAGACTTGTACCAACTAAATAAATGTTGGAGTTCCATAACTGATAAGTTAATTCCATAACTGATGAGTTAATTCCATAACTGTTGAGTCTATCCCGTACCTGTTGAGTCAATTCCATACATATTGAATTAATCTCGTGCTTGTTGAGTCAATCTCGTGCCTGTTGAGTCAATTTCATAATTGATTGCCTTGTTCAGCCTGTTACAATATATATTGCATTTATTGTACGTTACATAATTGATTTATAACTGATGGCGTAATGATGGTAAATCTCATGTAATCCGTGATTAATTGATTCTTTCATCATTTATAATTATGAGCTATTTTTCTGTACCCGATCTGGGGCTATTTTTTGATGATCAGTTCTGAAATTAATAGGTACGATACGAATATATTCAATCCCTAGGGTGTTTCACATCTCATCTTTATATGTTATTCTTCACATTTCTTATAATTTCGCTGATACGTGCCGCCATTTGAGACTCATGTAGCTAGCGAGTCTATTTTCACTAATACTACGGGTTTTGTTGTTTTTGGGGTAAGAAAGTGATAATTTGGGAAGAGCCAAGAATCTAGAATGATGATAGCAATCAAGTTTCTAAAAGAAACCTAATTGAGGGCTTTGTGCCTGATATGCAATTATAGAGGAACAATCATCATTACAAGTGTAAAGCACTTATTGCTTGGAAATACGTGTAAAGTAGATGCACGGCCCGCCAATACAATTTGCGGTGCCCCACGAAACTTTAAGCATTATATTTTCCAATTGCAACCCTAACCAAGCTAATCCTCCATCTAATCTTTCTTCCTCTTATAATGAGTCTTATCCCCTATATATTCTGTTTGGAGATAATTAATTAGTAATTAATAGTATATGATTATCGTGCCACACGTTCACACGTGTGACTCGTGGGTGGGCATCATCATGATACCAAATCATATAAAGCATTTACGACCCAAATTCCACAATGTAATCGACATAAGATCTTTAAGATTACACTATAGTTAATTAATTTGCTCTTGATTGATCACATAATAGAAGGGGTGGAACTAGTTTTTCCCTTTTAACCGTAGTGTTGGGTTTGTTTGTGCATCTACACTATCTTATTTGATAGCCATTATTTTCAGTCACCACATATATCAGTAGATAATTCTGTCTATAAAAATTTGGATAGATAGAAAAACAATAAATCACCTACCGATATAATCAGATACGACCACACCCTTGATTTACGTGGTAAAATCAGTTTCAACGACAGAGAGAAGGTTTGCATAGAAGAATGTTAATTTTACATTTTTGAATTAAAATATATTTTTGCCCTATGTCGAAGCAACGTGGTGATTCTCTATGATAAGTCGCGCTCAAAAGATCATGCTTAGAAATGTATTATTGCATTTCTATTCAATATTACCGCTTATTTTTCAACTTATATTTATTTGAAAAAGATAACACGAAAATATTGGCCCAAAATGTGTTAATTTCTCCGGAAATAAGTTATGCGACTTGCTAGAACTTCATGTAAGGAAGGATGGCTGTTAAAAGTAGAGTTCACATCTGACGTAAAACACCACTTTGAATTCGCTTCGCGTCTTTACGGAAAGCTAAACACAAAACTATAAAGATTACTGTTTCTCGACTTGAAAGCTAAATATCTGAGCTAAAACGTGAATCTCTTGAGAGTTTACCAACCATCGAATAAATTTGTAGTTTTGTACCATAAAAGACATTTAAAAAGACCAGTGGTCTCTCCATCTTCCAAGTCTGTTCTTGACATTTCAACATAGTTAATAATACATCGGATTTTACGATCCTTCCATAACTCAATATTATACCTCCTGAGTCCCATTTTATATGACGGTTGTGTTTGATTGGACACAAGGTTTAATAATTTAAAGAAGGCTTGTAATATACATTTAAGCTAAATTTTATGAGCAGTACCAATAATAAAAATTTAGAGATCTTTACAAAAATAGCCGGGTCAAATTTACTATTTATTTTTTCTAGTTAGTATATATAACTTATACAATGACTATACACGATTATGCACATATTATATATGGATTATACATTCATCAGCTATTTTAAGTTTAAGCGCCTAGGTAGGCGGTTATTTAAGTTAATTCTTCAAAAGTTAATTTATCCGCACTCTTTGTTTTTGCACCAACCCAATGAATATATGACACATGTATGTAATATACTCGCATAACTAAATTATAAGGTAATTAATATGCATGCTCAACTTATTTCATGACTTAATCATGGTAAATTAGTATGATTTGATATAAACAATGGATGACAGATAAATATTTATCCAAGATTATCATTTTAAATGAGTGATGATCCAGGCCCTAACAATTCATTTTATTAAAAGTAGTAAAACGGAGATACTTTTTTGACTAAAAAGATATTGGTATCTTTTCGAACAAATCAATTAAAGAAAATGAAGGGGCAAATCTTAGCTAAGTATAATAATCTCTAGAACAAAAGATATACGGGATGAATACAAAGGATAATATTTCTTGACTTTCTCAAGAATGATCGAACAATACTGATA